CCATTTAATTGATTTGCTAATGAACTTAATTTGTCTAAATATTTGCAATAGCAAGCACAGCTGATATTTACATACACAAGAACCCATGTCTGACTTTAGGCATAAACCTCAGTGAGTAGAATGAACATACTATAAAATGGTATCTAGCTGGGGCTATATAGCTTACTGTGGTCATCAAATACACAGTTTTTTCTTTAAATTTTGGTAACAGTTTTAGTATTTTTTTCTCTGAATTTTTTTTTTTAAATTTACATTCATTCCCTGAGCATCATCACAACATACTAAATGTGGTTTCCCCTCTAGAGTAAACTGCATAGTGTCTTAATCATGCATGTTATCATCCATAAAATTCCATTACTACTTTCATATATATATGTTTTTTACCCTATATCTGACCCTCTGCTCCATTTCACTCTCTTATTACACTATCTCTGCTGTCTACAGTTGGTGAGGCAGGATTTCTATCTGCTGGACTTGCTGCTGTGTCTCCAGCCCTGGAATAAGGCTTGGCATCGAGTGGCCTTTGCTAAGTATCTGTTAGGCAGGAATGGGCTCCAGGGTCTGGAGCCAACGTTCTGGCTTCTGAGAACCAGGCACACCCTGCTCTTGTCAGCCTCAATGTTCTTGGTTATGAAATGGGTGTGATCTCAAGCTGCTGTAGCGCTTTAATGATCTTGCACGTGTTAGGTACCCTCTGAGATCTCTGGAGAAGGTGACAGAGGAGCCAGTGTGTGTGCTGCTCAGCGTTTGGCCCAGTCCATACATAAGACCCGACGCTGCCTGCAGGACCAAGGGTGAAGGAAAGAAGCCAGTCACTGAGTAAGGAAAGCGTGGGAAGAACGCTCCTCCATCTTACTGGAAGGGAGCGAATCGAGGGTTACGGGTCTGGACACCAGAGAAGGGAAGCCAGGCAGGCGACACAGGACCAGATAGAAGGAGGGGAGCTCAGTGGGAGAGGCCAGGCCCTGGCAGTTCCAGAGCTGGCGCCTGTGTGTGGGGGTGGCCCGCCCCTGCTCACTTCCATGCTGTGCCCACCATTCAGCAATGCCTGCCCTGCACTGTCAGATCTCCATTTCCTTAGAGCAAGACATAGTCCACATATCTGTATAAAATTTTCCACGTTCTAGGGACTGTATAGACCAAAACATGTCTGTGGACCGGATATAGCCCAGAGCCCCCAAGAATGCAGCCCCCAGTATAAACAATTCATAAGAGGAGGAATTCGAGAAACCGCTTACATTCACTTCAGAGCCAGAGACCCAAGCCTGCTGAGAGGCAGGTGTGAACGTGTTATTTACCTCCCTCCTCCTACCCACCTCCGTTATTTTATGGCCGACATGGAGCACCTCACACTGGAGCTGCAGCCGTGAGTGAAGCTGAAATGACCCTTGGTCTTAGGAAGTGCATGGTCTAGTGAAAAGATGTGCTCCTCAAAAAATCCCTCAAAGGAACAGAAGATTGAGCATGAGCTCTAAGAGGGGTTGGAGGAATACAAATCTGCTAGTGCCTGTAACAAACCAGAGGCTTCCCAGCATTAGTGTGACTACTGAGATTTGAGGGGATGGTGAGTTTCACTGGGTGGAAAGGAAGGAGACCAGACAAAGCAAACAGCATGTGTGAAGGCCCCAGTGGGTAGAGGCCAGTGTTGCTGGAGCAAGGATAGCCGGACTAGCATGGACGGTGAGGAGGCTAACCTGTCAACGGGGGCGACATCGTGCAAGGCCTTGTAGGCAAAGTCAAGATTTCCACCTTCATTCTAATCGCGAGGGGAGGCGAGTGACATGTTTCAGTGAGAAAGTGCCGTGAGGATAGGACAGTTTTCGCATTTTAGAATGATCATTCCTTTTTTAAAAGCATTATTTAATTTTAGTTATCATTATTATTATTTAATTTGCTGCAGGGCACATGTGCTTATGAGAGAGAGAGAGAGAGAGAAAGAAAGCTGCTAGGTCCAGGATTTGAACCACAGCTGGCCATGTAGGAGTCTGGTGCCTTAACTGCCACACCACCTGCCAGCCCCTAGAATGATCATTCTTGATTGCCTTAGGGGAAAGAGATTTGGGGACGAGTGCAGAACAGAAATGGGAGGCCAGTTAGGAGGTGGTTTAGCAGTGACCCGGGCCTATGGTGGCATAGCCCTGTTTGCCACCTTTGAGACCTAATACCTTGCCCTGTGAGCTGGTGTGAGCCGCTGAGTACATTGGCTGCATCTGTCTGTTCCCTCTGAGCTGTGCTCCCAGGGCAGTGATCTCAGGGCAGAGGGAAGCTCTCAAGGCACTGCCCTGTTTCCTCTGCCTGCAGGGAGAGGAGCAAGGAGCAGGTAGACCCTGGAGGGGGGCTTCCGGCCTGGCCAGGGAAGGCCGTCCCTGTCTCTCCTAGCTTGAGCTGGAGGGGTCCTCTTTACTGTTTTGACCCAAGACTGGCTGTAGGAAGGAAAAGGATGATTTATTTTGACAACAGTGTGTGTGTGTGTGTGTGTGGTGGGGGGTGGATGGCATGGAGGCATGGATAATTTATTCAGGGAGATAAAAATAAAGTCACGTGTTGGTAGAAGCTATAAAAATCACAAAGGCATTTGTAGCTGCTTTACAGTTAGATTAGCTCAGAAGACTTGAGCAAAGCTTTCTGTGGAATCTTCCACCCCACACACTGGAAGGAGACAGGACTTGGTGCCTTTAACTGTCTATTCCTGTCCATAGTCGCTGGTTAAACCCGTCAGTCCTGAGCTCCTGCCCCACCTGGCTCCTCGTCAGCTCAAGGGAAGTGTGTCTGCCTGTAAGAAATTAAAACTAGAGTCATTTACTTTGAACCAGCCTCAATAAAAAATGTGGAGAAAGTACAACTTTCCCCTGAATAACCAGGAAGTAGTCATCGATTCATTGGCCAAAATTTTTAAGTCAGCCCCCAGAAGCTTCTAAGGTAGGGGTTGGCAAACTTTTTTTTGCAAAGGACCAGACAATAAATATTTCAGCCTGTATAGGCCGAGAGGATTTTAAGTACGTATTTATATAATCACTTAAAATATAACCATTTCGACTTGTTAAATGTATTGTTAGCTCACAGACCATCCGAAAAGCGGGCAGCAGGTCAGATTTGGCCAGTGGACTATCATTTGCTGACCTCTGGCCTAAAGACTGATTAGAGGGCCCAGCAGGAAGCTTAGTGGTTAATGCTGGACTCCCATATGGCCAACTGTGGTTTGAGTCCTGGACCTGGAGGCTTGAAACTCACACTGGGTGCATATGTGCCCAAAATCCTGAGAGGAAAATGGAGAAGGGATGGCAGCATGGACATTTCCCCTTGGGGATGATTTCTCTCTTTCTCTCTGTCTCTCTCTCCTCTGTGAGTGCACACGCTCTGTAGCAAAAATCTTTCAAAAAAAAAACAAAACAAAAGAAGGGCAGACAGGGAGAAGGGAGTACTAGTTTGAGTTTAGCTAGTTCTGAGTCTTTGACGGAGTGGCAACTCCCTCACAAGCCTGGGCCGGGCGTGTTTTCTTTTTATGGCCAATAGGAGTTGGTCAACTCCAGGATCTCAGCCGGCCTGAGTCAGTTTCCTATTGACCTCCTCTACTCACCCCCATCTGTCAGCACTTTCTGTCCCCAAAAGACATCAAGCCAGCCTTCAAGCTATTTCTCTGTCTCCATGGGTCGGTGTGACTGTGTGCAAGTTACTTAACCCCTTCAAGCCTCAGTTTTCTCATGTGTTTCATGACAATGAGAACACCAGCTGCCTCCAAGGGGTGAGTGAGGAGAACGGGAGTGCTGGGCGTGAACACTTCTGACAGCTGTGCGCTGCGCTCAGTGGCGTGCTTTGCCCCTCGGAGCTGTTTCTTTTCCTAGCCACTGCTCACTGTTGATTTGCTTTGTTCTGTTCTTCCTTTGGTAAGGCCGGGAAAGAAGAACAGGAGGGTGTGGAAGAAAGTCCCCAGCTGGAGGGCAGACAGGAGAAAGAAACAGAGTCCTCTGAGCCAGAAAACACAAGGACAGCCAAGGTAAAGCTAGTCCCAGATGCTGACAGCGTAGCCCTCCCACCCTTGCATTTCAGCCATTGTAGGAGTCCTGTCCTATGGTGAAGCCCTGCTGTATAGACTCCATCCGTGCTTCTGTGAATGAACCCAGTCCTCCCAGCGCTTTTTAGAGGAATGGTTTTGCCTGGGGTCATTGGAGAGTCTTTATTGAAGAGCTCTTTACACACACATCCGGGCTCTACCTCACTCTCCAGCCACTTGGCTGTGCCCCTGAGAGAAAACATGTGCCCCCAAACAGACTCAGGCTTCAGAGCCAGGCTCCCAAAATAGGCAGGTCCCTTGTGGGTGGAGGGACACTGTTCTGGGTCCTCTTGCTGGGGCTCTGACCTCGGCAGGCCCAGACCCTGGGATTAGCAAGGCATCTACTATGTTTGTAAAGATTATTTTACTTAATTAAGATGAAAACCCCAGTGATAGCCTTCCTGGACTAGGGCTGCCACAGCAAAATGAAATGTCCTTGGATCAGGGCCAGCTTCGTGCCTTTCCGGTCAGGAGAGGCGGGAGAGATGGGTATCACCAGGAGGGAAGCTGATCTCCTAAAGCTGTCTGCTGGGCCGCAGGCTGCTCGGGACAGGAGTAGATGGGTATCACCAGCAGGGAAGCTGATCTCGGAGGGGCCAAGTATAAGGCTTGGCAATAGGAGTTGCCCGGGGGGATTTTATGAGGGACTTCACCACACTTAAACGTAGTGATGCCCCCGCATGCACAGAAATTGCTCTAACAAGTATTGAGTGTTTGTAATTTAATCATAACTTCATTCACACAAACACTACGTACTGAGCACCTATTATGTATCAGGGATTAAAATTCTTTGTGTTACTTTAAACATGGTGGATTAAGCACTAAGAGCTTGTTCCAAATCCTTTGCCGTGCCGAGCCTCATCCTGAGGATGAGTCAGGGACGTGGTTTACAGCTCCTAATTAGCCAGCAGTTGTTCCCAGGTAGAAGTGAGGATGCTCAGGAGCTCTCTGGTTTGAGGGGTCCTTGTTGTGAGGTTAAGAGCTCTCAGCCTCCCTCTGACCTCCATCCTGTGTTTTTGTACAGGAGCGAGACTGGGAGAGTGAAAGTGAGGCAGAGGGGGAGAGCTGGTATCCCACCAACATGGAGGAGCTGGTCACAGTGGACGAAGTGGGTGAAGAGGAAGATTTTATCATGGAACCGGACATCCCAGAGCTGGAAGAAATTGTGCCCATTGACCAGAAAGACAAAATATGCCCAGAAATATGTCCCTGTGTGACAACCACCCTAGATGTAGACTTGGCCAAGGATTTCACCAAGGAGGGAGTCAAGACTCTAGGGAACGGGGCTGCAGAAATCAGCCTCAGGTCGCCCAGAGAACTGCCTTCTGCTTCCCTGAGCCATCCCAGTGACATGGACGTGGAAATGCCTGGCCTAAATCTGGATGCTGAGCGGAAGCCAACTGAATGTGAGACAGGCCACTCACTAGAGGGTTCAGATTGCTACGAGAAGGAGGCAAAGGGAGTGGAGAGCTCGGATGTTCGTCTGGTCCCTGCAGTCCAGCAAATGTCTTCCCCCAAGCCAGCAGAAGAGAGGGCCCAGCAGCCTAGCCCATTTCTTGATGACTGCAAGGCCAGAGGGACTCCCGAAGATGGGGCTGTTGAAGGCAGCCCCTTGGAGGAAAAAGCCAGTCCCCCCGCTGAAACCGACGTCCAAAGCCAGGCTTGCCAAGAAGTGTTGACCCAGGGTAACTACCTCCCCTCTTCTCATGGGTGGTTGGGTTGATCGGACCACTGCTCACTTAAGGAAGTGTGGGCATGCATGGGCTGGAATGAATGTAAGTATGGTTTCAACTAGCATTAAAGCCAGCACAGAAAGTAATTTAGTAATAGAGACAAGCCTCTAAAAGCCTGGTTAAACTGTGAGAGCTTTTAGGCAAATAGTGTAAAGGAAATCAGATAGGAGGCAGCCTGTTTTCTGAGAAGTAGACCCAGATAGAACAGACTTCTCTGCACTTACAGGAACCCAGATGGGCCTGGACAACTAAAATGAGCTTATCAGCAAAGGGAGTTTGGGTTCCTCAGAATCAGCAAGTGGCCTCTCATGCCTGCTCCACAGAGGACCACCCAGGCTGTTATTTCTGTGCTAGGAGCAGGTGGGTGGGCAAGCAAAAAAAAAAAAAAAAAGTGGACAGGAAGGAACAGGGGCTCTCTACGGGTTATGACTTGTTCCCCTTCTTACTACCTCGGACCCCTTTTTCCAGGATCTGATGGTTAAACAGACTTGTCCCAGGATCTCTCTGCCTCCATCGGAGGTGATGTTGTGTCTATGCCCGGCACTGACATCATGAAAGAGTGAGAGTTTAAAATAGGCTAAGCCCCTGTTCTTTCTGCCAAGTGGAAACTGAGCTCCATCAAGGACTATGGGGGAGGGAGGGAGAGTAGCCCTTAATATTCTCACAGTGAAAATAACTAGAAATTCATTCTACAGAAAGCTTGCAGAATATCAGCGGTGGGAGTCAGAGTCAGGGGACAGGA